AATGAGAAAGTAACTCCAATACCCTCAGCTAAATAAATCATATTTCTACAATACATTCGGTTACCTTTCTCTATTTTTACATAAGCACACATTCATATCTCTCACACACGTGCCCCCAATGTATATTTTTGCATGTGTGTAAAAATACAGACATATACATGCACACAAGTAATTTAATTCTATTTTTAAGTCACAGTGGGAATTCCTTAGTGAGGAGGGATAAAAAGTTCCTGAATAAGACACTGAGAACATCTAGATTTATTATTTTCTCTATTTTACTTCCCAACTTACAGAATAAACTGTAAATTAAAGAATAAATCCATAGGAAATAAAAGAGGTCTTAAAAACTTAGTTTACAAATTCCAGCTACAGTAGTTGGAGTTTTACTTGATCTATGTATTTCTATTTACCCTGTAACTAAGCTTCTAGCCATCTTAAGTGTAAACCACAGATCATTTACTAAAGAACATGATTCTCAACAGTTCTATGAGCAGTAATAAATGGTCTAAAGGTGTTCTACATTTTGAGGCCCCAGGATACCTTTTTATTTTATATATCTGCAAGGTAGCAAAGGATAGCTATACACCTTGACACGGCAGAGATCCAGTGTAAAAAGGTGCTTCACTAGTTTGTTTTGTCAAAAAAAAAAAAAGCTCATATATAATTATTTAGCTATTAAACACATAGGCAACATAATTCATTACACTCAATACAGCTTTAGTATAAAACTTATAATTTATGAGGTGATGTTAATAGCATAAATTAATATACCTTTTCTCTTAAAATCTACAATAAGTATTCTGAAAGCTCATTGGGGAAGGAAATTTTTAAATAAAAGTTTTAAAGCTGTGCATGATGGGAAAGGATTCTGTATGCTGAAGCTGAGATGAGAGCCTGAAGGAGAAAGGAAAAAAGTCCTATGCAAGACACTGTGGGCTACGAAACCAAATGTTTTCTCTTTCTTGCGCTCTCGTCAATGATGAGTCACCTTTAGTTTCTTTGAAAACTATTTTCTTATTTTAAAAACTGCCCTAATTTCCACAAGGAATCCCTGAGACATACTCAATACTATATAGTGAAAAGAACTATCACTGTTGAGAGGAACAGATTCAACCCTTCCAAACAGATGAAGACAACCTCAACAAGTGTCAAACTTCCCATCATTTCAGCACTAATCCATTGGAGCCAACTGTACCTTAACGATGCAGGTTGGAGTCATTTCAGGGCAAATCAGTCTATTCCCCCAAGTAAAAGCAATGATGTGGCATTTAGCTGCATTGGAGCCTTCTGCACTGCATGTTGAAAATTTTTCCAAGGGGAACTTTGGGTGCATATAGAGCTTACTTCAGTGGTCCCCAGCTTAAAAAAACAAACAAACAAAAACAAACAAACAAACAAAAAATAAAGTGAAAGAAGAGGATTCTATTACTCTCCGGCCAGGATCAGTATGATCACGTGAGTGCATGTGCATGCTTCAGTACTGGGGTGGGCAGAGGCAAGCAGGCGGCAGAGAGGAAGGAAAGCTGCCCTAGGTAGCTCACTGAGCATTAGATAGATTTTTCGAAGACTGTTTATCAGATTCACCAAAGACTCTGCTATTCACACTAGCCAAAAATTCCCAATATTGGAGAACACAGGGTAAAGAAAATTATACCAAATTTGCTCTACTCTCTCTGAAACGCCACGTTTCCTTGTATTAGCTCTGCATCACAGTGCAGAGAGGAAAGCTAACAAAACACAACAGCTGGAGTGAAAAAAGAATTTTTGCTATTTAGAAGTTGTGGGCTACGTTTGACCTACAACTATAGCATTAATGACACTGGTTATTAGAGGGGGATATGTTTTATGTTTTCTTTCCTAACTCATTGGTCAGGGGAAAATGTTGAACAGATATTCAAACACGTTCTTCACTGGTATTTTATTAGTTTTTTTTGAAAGACAGCATTTATTTATTCATTTTTATTTTTTTTTTTGAGACAGAGTCTCACTTTGTTGCCCAGGCTAGAGTGAGTGCCGTGGCGTCAGCCTAGCTCACAGCAACCTCAATCTCTGGGCTCAAGCGATCCTCCTGCCTCAGCCTCCCGAGTAGCTGGGACTACAGGCATGCGCCACCATGCCCAGCTAATTTTTTACATATATATATATCAGTTGGCCGATTAATTTCTTTCTATTTATAGTAGAGACGGGGTCTTGCTCTTGCTCAGGCTGGTTTTGAACTCCTGACATTGAGCAATCCGCCCGCCTCGGCCTCCCAGAGAGCTAGGATTACAGGCATGAGCCACCGCGCCCGGCCAGAAAGACAGCATTTAGAATGTTACTTTAATTTATTAAACATGATTTTGGCTTATTCCAGAATATAGGAAAGCTTATAAAGATCAAGATGTTAAGAAATCATTAAATTGTCTTATTTTTCTATAGGATGCCAGTGAAGATTGTTATTTTCAATTTATTGAGACAGGAAAAAAAATCTATGTGTTTTCATATATATAACCCCATCCCAATAAATATATTTTCTATCAGAAAAAAATTCTTGGAACAATGTAGAGATTGGTGATAAAAGAGATATAAATGAAGAGTGTTCAGTACAACTAAATTGTCTTTTAAGGAAACCTCTAAATTGCTTCATTAAACTGGAGAGTTGTGTTGACCATTTAGAAGACTGTTAACATTATTCTCTATATATCAGATTAAGAATAGAATTCAATAGAATTTTAAAAGAAGGCTAAACAGGAAGAAGATGAAGAAACTGAAAACTAGAGACCCAAAAATAATTTTTAATGAATCTCAGACCTATAAAACAATTAGTTTAGTGTTAATGTTCTCATCTTTTTGCAACATGAACCAAAAACAACTTTTTCTACTAACTGGGCACAAAGGCGATTGCCTCGTACAGACCACAGACGGCTGGTGAAGCCTGACACCACCAGCACCACCCCGTGGTGCAAAGGCACAGGAGGGATGCGCTGAGAGCGCGGGATTACCTACCTATGCTCAAATTCTAATGCCAATTTATAAAGACAGGACAGTGCAGGGGCAATAGAAATGCAAATTCTTTCACATAAGAAGAAAACTGTGCAGTCAGAGCACCTGTGTACATCACGAACATGGTTTCCTTCCTAATCAAAGGACTGTCTTTGACACTGTGGATTGTGATCATGGATTGAGAACAAGCTCTGATAAGGAAAAGCTTTAGTGTTACTCATAGAAAATGATGATTCTTAACTTTCAGTTGAGAGACTGGGCTTATTTAAAAAATAAATCTTATAAATAATTATTTGGCAAAAATAAAGTATTAGCTTTCTTTAGCCTTAAGCCACTAAAGACAGTAACACCAATTTTCAGGGGAAAAAAAGTACTTTTCAACTTGATCTCCATATTTACTATAAGCTTCTTATTAAATTATAATCTCAGAGAGGGACACTAGACACATCACACTGCCTGCCAACATGAAATTGCTCAGGAAATCATTTATAAAGCAGTTATATCACACACAGTAGGTTACTAGAGAAAATAATCCTTTGCTGTACAAGCTATGCCGACGATACTTAGAAAAGTTTTCCATTGCATAGTCTGTCACTTGGTGGGTTAAGTATAATTGCTACTTACTATCATGAATTGTTTACTAGCTACATAACCTACCCACATGTGCAAATTGCTAAGCCATTTTTACAGAGAAAAAAACAATGTCTTAAGTAATTTAATTAAAATAATATTAATAATTATGTAGAGAATAAAGGAGAGAAAGCCCACCTTTTCTTCAGATGCTACAGATCACTGCCAGTGAGTATCACACATTAGAATGGAATTCAGATTCTCAGAGCACAGAATGTATCCATTAACTGCAGCAACTTCATAAATTAAATCACAGTAACACAATCTAACTGGCCTTTATAAATGGTCCCAAAGAACTGCAGAAACAGAATGAACTTTCTTTGTCCCTATTTCTCATGAGTTTAACAATAGAATAACAGCTAGTTTCCACCTAATTAGGACCTTATATAAGATCTGTTTTTGATTCCAGTATTACCTTATGATAGCATAAGTGCTATTTTAAAAGACACAAATTTTCATATTTCTGGAGTAAAAGACACTTCATTCCTTTCTTCACATATTAATAGCAAACCTACTACTAACAGACTAGAATTGCTCCATTAAACTAGAAGAAAAACATAACAGGTATCTCTGGGCTTACAGATGTTCTTCTCTCTTCCAAAAAGGGACTCACAAGAAACGACAAGAGCAAAGCAAACTGCAAGCTTGTTTATTTGTTTTGAAGTAGATGAAATGAGAGGAAAGGTTTTGCTAAGTCCTCAACTCTACACTGATACTTTGTAAGAGTGCCCTTTTCTCAGCTATCATCATGGGCATCTAAACAAAAATGTATTTACTCAAAAGTTTTTGGTGTGAAGCTGTAACTGGCAACATTCCTGATCGTTTGTTTTGTGCCTCCTTACTAAAAGCAGAGAAGGTCTGCTTTTAAATGCACATAAAACAGAAAATTGCAAACAATAAAACGTGCAACTTACTGCAAACTCAGTTTTGATAACTGGAGAATTTTAAGCAGCTAACACAAGGGATACATAGCCAGAAAAAGTTCAGATCGACTACCTATGACTTTCCCTTCACTGTCAAAGAAAGGCTGATGAGGAAGTCATTGTGCTGCTCTGCTACATAATGGAGACTAAACCGAATTGCTAGCAATGGACAGTTATCTAGTGATGATTATAACGGGTTGTGAAAATACTTTAGCAAACTAAATGACACTTTTGAGCAGAGGTTACTACTCATAATCATTTTATTACAGTACATTAAAATAAAAAAGCTTACTAACAGAGGTTCACAGGTGAGAAATACTCAAATTACCGGTTCTCACCGTTCAGAATAGAAATTTATGGTGATACCAAATATAATTTTGCTTTATGACATAATTTATAATTTAGAAATTTCTCAATCTGCAAAAAAGGCAAAGCTATTAAAAATAAATCTTCCAATCAATTATCATGATTTTAAAAAAGAAACTAAATATATTACAAACATATTTTTGGCCCACAAAAAGAAACTTCAATAAATACAAAATAGGGCATATAATGATTTCATACAGTCATGTGACATTTCCCCTCCACAATCTCAGGCACGTGGTATCTGCATAATGCCTGCTGATCACCATCATTCCTTTAAAAAGCAGAGAAAGAAAAGCTTTCAAAAGAAGGGACTGGTTAGAACTAGCATGGCATAAAGAGATTACTCATAGGAAGAAGTAGGAAAATACATCCAGATCTTTACCTATTAAGAAAGGAATTAAGATCAAATATTCCCTGACAAATGAATTATTGAACCACATCATTAATAGATATGTTCTCTCTACTTAACCTTTAAAATATATATATGTAAATTAGACTAGACTCAGGTATAAATAGCCAATGGTATCTTAAGGGACAGTGAAACTTTCAGCAAAAGCAGAGCAGAAATGCCTTTAAAATCTAGTTTCTACCCTTCTGGGGAGAGTGGGGAAAAAAAGGCAGGCAAGAAGAAACCCCACATATTCATTTTATAGTCACCAACTTACTAAACTACCCAATATGACTTTTAACCCTAACATCTTGGTATTTTAAAAAAATTTCCCAAAACTATTTCCAAATTTACTTAAATCTAAGTACTTAAATTATTTTAAAAGTACCAAAGGGTGGATAAAATTTATGTCTGATTTCCATATTCTGCTTTGAAAGAAACTTTAAAATGTGTATCCTTCAGATATTACACATCACTTCACAACTGGTACACTGATTCTACAAGTGTCTTCAACATTTTACAAATCTTACCAAAGAATCACTACTGTAAACATGAAAAATTCAAAAGCAAAAGATGGATCAAGGAGTTCACAGATCCCATCTTTTCAAATCTATCTGACCTATCCTGCTTTTTCACATCAATACATTTTCTTTAATTACATCTTGCAAATGTGTTCCATGAGAGAGGGACTTAGAAACAAACGTATGTCTGAAAAGGAAGTGACCGTCAGGCCCCAGAACCTCGACAACCCTGCAGTCTCTCTGGACAAGCTTTTCATGACATCCCCAGGTCACTGATGCGAATTCACCTTTTTGTATTCTGTTTCTTCTTGGGGTAACTTTTAGTAGAAAAAGGTTGTGCTATTCACACAACCAGACCACCACCCTCCCTATTCAGGAAACTTTAGTTAACTCAGTGGAAAAGAACGGCCAATCTTATTAGGGTTGTGAGATGTTGAAAAGGAGAAAAGTTAAGAGCCTGATATTCATAACAGGGAGGAAAAAAAAAACCAAAAAACAATGGGACAGTTGCTTCCTGCACTGCACAAAAACACACACATGAGCACACGCATACTCACAGGCAGTCAAAAGACAAATTTTTTTCTTTTAGTTAAACATGATCACAATTAGGAATGGAATCCTGGCCTCACTGTGACACTTAGCAGTTGGTGCTATGTCAGAGCCTCCACCTGCCACACACCATTTGCTGTCTCTTACACTGGAACTCAGTTAATAGGATTCATTCTATCTAGAACCACTTATGTAAAAACCTGGCAAAAGAATGGAAAGCATTGATCTGAATACTAGGATATAGTAAAGGGCACTGGTAATCTGAGGTATCTTCCACTTCTAGGACTTGCTGCTAAAAATCCATCCTATCCAGTCACTGTGCTGAACCACTAGGGAAACCACTGGGGCCAAGTAGACCTGCCAGGAGGGAATGAGCACCAGTGCTGAGGAGCGCATGTGAACACTGAAGCAAGGTCCACTGCAGGGCCACTTGTTGAACTGGGAACGGGGTGCCCCTCGAATCCCCATCTGTTATTTTTAAAATCTTCTTTAGGAAAAGAGGAGAAGGGTGCTAAAGAGGAAACAAAGATAGAAAACACCAGGTTCCCCACCTGCCTGCAAACATACAGACGCACTCAATTAGGGGAGGGAAAGGGAGAAGATGCATTATTGGTACTTGTAGCTGTGGCACCTGTTACTGTGAAGCCTGTAGGAGGGGCTATCGAGCTGTGGCTGGGCTGCAGGTCCTTAGGAATGCCACTGTGAGAACTCAGCTGGTGGCCGAAGGCTGCGCTGAACTGAGGGAGTTGCTGCTTGGGAGAGGTGGAGGCCATTAGTTCAGCAGAAGGCCCCATGCCACTGAAGCTGGTCTGCGGTAACCCCGGAAGCACACTGGAGCTGCTGGGGGTCACGGTGGCGAAGGCAGGCTGTGTGGTCTCTGAGTTCGAAGTGGTGGGTGGCGTGGATAGGGAAGTGGAAAGAAGATGTCCATCTGCGCCAAGAAGGTTGCTAAATGGGGAGGGATCTCCAAGGCTGACAGGGAGATTACCCCAGTGAGTTCTGGGGTTTACCACTCCTCCAAGTGGCACCTCGAGTTGGGTTGGGAGCAAGTGCTGCGCCATGATGGGCATCTCTGCTGAAAAGGTAGCTGCCATATTATCACCAGAGTAGGATGTTGCATGGGGAGAGGTGATATGGTCACTGTAGGGAGACGGCACGTGCTCACTATCATAATGGCTTCCATGGGGCGAGGAGTGTGAATGATCACTGCTGTATTGCTGTCGTGAGGTGATTAGGTCTTCTGCCTTGCTCAGCAGCTGGGCAGGATGTGGCCTCTGGGAGGCATGGCTGCCGTCATGAAGTCCATGGAACTGTCCTGGGAAGGCTCTCTCCCCAAGTGCACTCTGGCTGATCAGAGTGGCAGAAGTAAGGCCAACGTTGGCTGGGGCAGAGAACTGCCCCTGGATCTGCCCTGCCAGGGGTGTAGGTGGGTTAGACAAAGTAGCAGAACGGAGCAGGTTCTCATCCAGCTCTAGACTAGAAAAATTATCGTGTACTATACGCCCATTCAATAGCTCCCCTAGGTCTGTGTTTACTTCTCGGCTCAGGGACTGGATTCCTGAAGCTCCAGTACCTGTGGAGAACACCCCTATTCCTCTATCTGACAACTCCTGGACTGGCACACCATCTGACTGGGCAAGGACCCCAATGGTACTCAGGCACTCGAGAGAAGTTACCGCCTGCAAGGCCCGTTCAAGCTCCTCGGCCTCTTCGGTCGTTGGGAGGAGGTCTCCGTTCTTCCCTGAGTCAACAAAAGCCATAGAGAATCAGTGGAGCTTTTACCTGTTCTATATCACAAAAATCATACATGTGAGTTATTTTAAACAATACTAAGCTTCCAAGATTTGGATTGGAAGGAAAGAGTGAAAAATTAATACAGAGGACAGGTCTGAAATGGCAGCTATCCTGGAACTTGAATCGTCATCATTTATAATACTCTCAAAAACCATCTAATGCAAGTGTTAAATTCTTAGGAACTCTAAGGATTATCAATTTAAAACTCATGGTAAGTATTTGATTATACAGGTTTTTGCCTAAAATTATACTAATGTCATTAAAATAGAAAACATATTTCAGATTTGAGACAAAGGCTGTGTGGAACAGTCTGCCTTACTGTTTCCACACCTAGACGCTTCCTGCTGGAGGGCAGCTGTGGAAGACTAGATCACAGAAGTTCACACGTAAACTTTCGCACGACACTACGCACACGGTTCATTTCATGGGCTATCTTTCAAAATGCTTCCGCTTAACTCTCTAATCCTTCCCCCGTATTCTTTTCGCATTTCCAACTAATTTTCACAAAATGGAAGCCCACAGACCCACTTTGATTTCATTTCTATTATTAACAAAAATCTGTTAGGAACTTTATTAATCACCATGAAAATATCCAATTTTTAATGGTGAAATAAACATTCTAAAAGTATAAAAGATTTCCCCTGAAAGCACTGAGGAATTGGTGGGATTAGGCAAACTTTGTTTTGGGAAAGTGTACTCCAATCAAAGTACAGGGTGGCGTATTAAAATCAGGGCAAGTTCTAAAAGACCTCAATAAATTTATGTTTAAAATGTCTTTGTTCAAAAATAAACTAAATTTATTCCTTTTAAAAGAACAAAGTTATAAACCTAGCTATCAAATGGTAAGATGGCTAAACAAATTGTGCATTCCTCATCATCTGGAAAGAGTAAAATAGCTTTAGCGGTATTATATTTTCTATCTACAGTGAAAGACATTATATTTGAAGAGGAAAACTTCAAACACATCTCAAAAAACCATTTCCTTTCTTATAAACTCATTTTTAAAACCGGGTCCTTGAATCAAAATATTGACTATACCTTCAAAAAAATCAAAATCTTGTAAGTCATCAGGCAGCCGTGGCAGGACATCTGAGAAGTCCTCCTGGTTCAATTCCAAGTCATGTGGAATGTCAGTGATCTCATTGGCAATGTCATCCGGCAACTCATCAGCACTCAGCTCTGGCGTGGACGGGCTCCTGGGAAAGATGGCATGGATGGGAAGGATGGCTCAGTTGGCCCCGTGGCACCCCCATCCCATACCTTTGTGCCAGGGTCACAGAGACAAGTGCATCCAACAGGAAAAGAAGCTAATGTCTTTCAGGTTTTTTACATTCCATTCAAACATAGGAAATCCTAACTTTAAGTGTCTCCTCTCCTACTTTAAGAGAAGGAAATTTGAAAGCAGAGGCATTGTAAAAAGATAGACCTCACTGTATGCATGGATTTCTGCAACTTTTACCCATGTATTAAGAGACAATAACCATTACTAGATAATATTATTATTATTTTAATAGATAATATTTTCAAATTAGTAGAATGAGTCACAATTTGGTGTATTAAGTATGTCAATACTTTCTAGTAGAATTTCAAATCCAGTCAAAATAATAATTTAAAAATGAAATAAACTAACAGGTAAAATTAAAACGCTTAAACAGCTGAAACATTCACCTGGTCTCATTCACCTGGTCAAAATGCTTAATCCTGCCAAAATTAATACTGCTCATACCCCCCCCACCTTTTTTTGAGACAGAGTCTTGCTCTGTTGCCCTGGCTACAGTGCGGTGGCATCAGCCTAGCTCACAGCAACCTCAAACTCCCAGGCTCAAGTGATCCTCTTGCCTCAGCCTCCTCCTGAGTAGCTGGCACTTCGGGTGGGTACCACCATACCAGCTAATTTTTTCTATTTTTAGTTGTCCAGCTAATTTATTTCTATTTTTAGTAGAGACAGGGTCTTGTTCTTGCTAAAGCTGGTCTGGAACTCCTGACCTCAAGCAATCCTCCTGCCTTGGCCTCCCAGAGTGCTAGGATTACAGGTGTGAGCCACCACGTCTGGGCCGGCATCATATTTCTGATGGAATATTTCTATTGGAACATATACGGAATTTCTGGTGAAATTTTTATTATTTTTTTGAACAGAGTCTCGCTTGTTGCCCAGGTAGAGTGAGTGCCATGGCATCAGCTAGCTCACAGCAACCTCAAACTCCTGGGCTCAAGCAATCCTCCTGCCTCAGCCTCCCAAGTAGCTGGGACTACAGGCATGTGCCACCATGCCCGGGTAGTTTTTTCTATATATATTAGTTGGCCAATTAATATCTTTCTATTTATAGTAGAGACAGGGTCTCGCTCTTGCTCAGGTTGGTTTCGAACTCCTGACCTCGAGCGATCCGCCCGACTCCTCAGCCTCCCAGAGTGCTAGGATTACAGTCGTGAGCCACCGCGCCGGGCCGTGGTGAAATTTTTAAAAGCTGGGCATCTTTTTGCTTTTTTGTAATCAAAAGCTTTATTTTAGATCTAACACAGCCCCGATAGAGATGAAATTTGTATCCAGAACTGTAAAAAGTCTAGGCTGATATGCTGAATGGCTTTTGTAGCCTAGTGCCTACTTTATGATACCCTCGTGAAGCTAGATGTGTTGAGAACAACCAGAAAACATTAAAAAAAAAAAAAAGTAAATCCCAGTGCCACCACTGACCGGATCTGAGAGGTCTCCACAGGCAGTGAGACGCTGGTGGGCATGCTGAGGTTCCCTTGGGGCACGGCAGGGGGAATGGGTTTTTGGGGTCGACGAGGTCCACGCCTTCTCTTCTTCTTGTGTTTTTTGGTAAGTGCAGGAGGCTTGGTTTTTTTCCTGGGTTTCCTCTGCTGCTGGTGCTGAACTTTACGGGAGTTATCTCCTCTCAAGAAATTATCCTTGGGAATGAATAAGTGGGTTTTTAAAAACTGAAATTACTTGGGAAAAACCTAACAGCTATGCAAAAGAATACTTATATCTCTTAATATTCTATACAATCCCTAAAACGTTACTTTATGCCTAAAACTACGTATAAAAATAATTAAATAAACAAAAACATAATTCATTTAATTCACATCTAGCCTCCAGAACTGTGTGACGTAAATTTCTGTTGTTTACAAGCTGCTCATTCTATGGTACTTTGTTACAGCCATGCAAATGGATTAAGATGCCATATTTCATCAATTCCAAGATGTACATTTAAAAAATATCTCTGCAACTTGGAAGCGTTTTACAATGTTGGCATATTACAATTTCTGTCAGCCAGGTGAAGGGCATTATAGTTGGCACTGCCTACCTACGCCCAAACTTGGTTACAGTTCATTGCATAGGCATTGTCTGAATTAAGGTATGTGCACTGTTGGTACTACATGTGGAGGAAAAAATTTTGTGTACGCAGAAAGACACAAAGAGCAGCAGGGTATAAAATTATTAGTAAAGCAAATATTCAATATTGAACTGACCATAATTCTGTTTTGTTTTAGTTTTTTTTGCAAAGCAACAACCAAGTGAGAAAGGAAAATAACTACAGAGTAAATGAAATTGTGTTATAACTGAAGTGTGTAGAAAATATCTACTTTCGCATGTCAAATATTATAGCTGGAACCAGGAGTGATATAGAAGATAAAAATCTATGTCTAAATACGACTTTAAAAAGCTCTTTCAACAAGTATAAAACAATAATTTTAACTGTTAAGAAAAGCACTGTATCATTGGCAGCATTATGAAACATATATAAAACAGTGGGTTTTGTAATTGATGCCACTTCTGATTTGATTCTATAATAACTCTTATTAACTAAATACACTATAACTATCACTAGCATCAAATTCAAAATAAGAAAATAAAACTAAAGCATAAATTCAGGAAATCTAAAAAGAAGTTTAATCCCACTCAAATACTTGAATGCAAACATGGACTCTTGAGACACAAATACACAAATTTATAAAACAAAGAAAGAGGCGCTTCCTAGACTCTGTGGTTCTTTTTAGCTCAACACTTGAGGTCTACATGTATGGTGTCCCCTATTTAATTCAACAAATAGCAAACGAGCAACTACCAGTGCCCAGCATCCATTTTGGGCTTTCCCTCTGGCACCAGTGCTGATCTCAGGCAGGAGAAAGTTAGAGAGCTCACCCCAAGATTAACAAGCCCTACCTGTAAGGACTCCTGATGATCACCTGGTTCTGGTTTTGGCTCCTGCCTAGTACCTCTCTGGCATTCTTGGTATGAGGCCAGGTATTCCACACAGAACTGCCCATGATCAATGTCCTGCCTTGCTCAGGGCAATTCCTCATTTAGCTCCTCTAGAGAGATAGAGCCCCTCCTTCCTGGAGGCTTTCTAATGCCAACTGTTCATTTACCTAGCTGAAATTCACTCTCAACTTTCTCAGTGTCTCATTCTACTGCTGTGTCAAGACAATGCATTTACTAACTTACCATCTGTTGTATGATCTCATACCTGCTGGAATACCACATTCTGCCTGCCAGCCTACACTTCCTGCAGCTTGAGGCTCTTCTAAGGATGGCTGCCGCATCCTAGTGGCCAAGTCTAGTTCTCAATTTAACCCCACCCAACCATGTGCCTGACCATAAATTCATTCAGCAATTACTTACTCAGCATTTCTGTTCTAAGCACTAGGAATGTAGCAACAAACAAAAAATGTTCCTGCTCTTGTGAAGTCTATGTTCTAGTAGGAGAATACAGACAATAAACAAATTAATAAATAATGGCATAGCCAAGGAAACAATCAACACAGCAAACAGACAACCTACAGAATGGGAGAAAATATTTGCATGCTATACATCTGATAAAGGGCTAATAATCAGAATCTACAAAGAACACAAGCAAATCAGCAAGAAAGAAATCAAACAACCCCATTAAAAAGTGGGCAAAAGACATGAACAGAAATTTTTCAAAAGAAGAATAGACAAATGGCCAACATACATATGGAAAAATGTTCAATGTCTCTAATTATCAGGGAAATGCAAATTAAAACCACAATGAGATATCACCTAACTCCAGTGAGAATGGCTTTTATCAACAAGTCCCAAAACCACAGATGCTGGAGTGGATGTGGAGAGACAGGAACACTTATCCACTGTTGTTTGACTGCAAACCAGTACAACCTCTGTATAAAATAGTATGGAGATTCCTCAAAGAACTAAAAGTAGACCTACCATTTGATCCACCAATCCCACTACTGGGTATATGCCCAAAGGAAAATAAGCCATTTTGCCAAAAAGACATTTGCACTCAAATGTTTATTCCAGCACAATTCACAATGCAAAGGTCTGGCATCAACCCAAGTGCTTGTTGATTCATGAGTGGATTAATAAAATGTGGTATATGTATACCATAGAATATTACTCAGCCATAAAAAAAAATCGATGAATTAATATCTTTTGTAACAACCTGGAAGGAACTGGAGACCATTCTCCTAAGTGAAGTATCACGAGAATGGAAAAATAAACATCACATGTACTTACTATTATATTGGATCTAAGTGATCAGCACTCATGAGCATATAAAACTCAAAGGGAAATCTAGCAGGCCAGGGGGGCGGGAGGGATGGGTGAAATCACACCTAATGGGTACAATGTACACTATTTGGGTGATGGGCATACTTATGACTTTTTCTCAAGCAGTACAAGAGCAATCCACATAACCAAAACATTTGCATCTCTGTAATATTCTGAAAGAAAAAAGAGCAATGGAATGTTAGACAGATAAATGTTAGAAAGAAAAATGAGGCAGAGTATGGGTACAGGGTAACAGGCAGGTAGAAGAAGGCTTCTTTGATGAGGCAACTCTAGATCAGAAACCTGAATAAAAGGAAATAGTGAGCCATATAGAAACCTGGAGAAAGAACATTCCAGGAAAAGAAGAGAAAGTCCCTGAGGTGGGAGTACACTTACAGTGTCCAAGAAACAGCAAAAGGCCAGTGTTGCTGGAACTCGAGGAGCGAGGAGAGGCACGTGAGATGAAGCTGAAGAGGCTGCAAGGGCCAGATCAGAAAGTGCCTCAAGGGCCACAGTAAAAATTTTGAATTTGGTTTTAGATGTGATGAGAAGCCATTAAAAGGTTTTGATCATGGAACTAAAATGATTACATATATATTGCAAAAGGCCTGCTGTAAAGGCTATATGCTGTAAGATCCAATTTATATGACATTCTGGAAAATGCAAAATTATAGGGGCAGCAAACAGATCAGTAGGGAGGGAGTAAAGAGTTCACTACACAGGGATAGCACAAGAGAATTTTGGGAGGTCATGGAAGTGTTATCTTGATTATGGTGGTGGTCATACAATTGTATGCATCTGTCAAAACTCATAACCCTGTACACTCAAAAATGAATTTAATTCGAAGAAAGTGAAACACACAACACACAATACACCTGCGGTGACAAAGGGTATGACAAGAAAAGGGAGCTCAATTAGGGGACTACTGCAATAAGCCAGACAAAGATGATGGTAACTAACGGCTAGGATGGTAGCAGTAAGGTTGGCAAAATGTGTCTGGGTTCAGGATATAGTATGAAAGTAGAGCCAAGAGATTGGCACATAGTTTTTGTCTTGTAGTGTAAGTCTCTTAGAGGGGCATAGATGGGATTCAAGTGTTTGTTACAGTTTCTTATGTCATTTTTAATCTAAAACAAAAATTGCTCAAACCAGTATCAGATTTTGCAACTGCCTTTAGACAGAAAACCACATTCGAAATTTGTATTGTAAAGACTTTTTACAGACACACTTGAAGCTCTTACTCGAGGAGGGGCATGGGCAATATATGTAACCTTAACACTTGTATCCCCACCATAATACGCTAAAATAAAACAAATAAATAAAAAGACTTTTCACAAATCTAATTAATATTATTACTTATTTATGTAGTACTTTATTTTATATTATTATATTATATATATTATTTTATGACTACATTACACTAATTCAACCTTAGGTTTGCCTCATTGATTTTGCCTTAGTAGGAATGTTTAACAAGCTGAAAAGAATAAACTGCTTTAAATTTCTTTCAAAGCTTTCATAATATGTGTTATTATAGGAATCAAAAATTCACTCATATTAAATCATTGAAGCAGATACTAAAGTATATAGCTTCCCAAATAACAAATTTACCTATTCTTAGAAGTATGCCGAAATATCTAGGACCGTTTACTTCAGTGCCTTGAAAGCTACAGAGTCCACATTAACAAGGGTCTGTGAAATCATCATTGAAGGCCCACAAAAGTGATTCAAAAAGGACTGGAAAGTATTCCTTAGTCATGACAAAGCCTGAATAAGCTAACAAAAATGCCCATATTTTAAATTAAAATGGGAAAATAATTATTCAACATTTGTACATGTACTTCAGTACACAAACTTTTCAAAACATATGGTCCTTAAAAGAAACCTAAGGGGGGAGGGAGAAAAGGGCATTTATTGAAACCTTAAAATCTGTACCCTCATAATATGCCGTAATAAAAAAAATAAAATAAAAATAATTAAAATTTGAACCTCAAAAACAAACAAACAAACAAAAAAACCCAAAAAACAAAAGAAGTTCTTGAGGAAGAAGCTATTGAATTAGATACATGGAATCTGAGGTCTAGAAAAGGTTGAATCACGAGTCCCTAGTGTGGCTAAAGCCAGGATCACAACCTTAAACTAGTAAGTGCTGGTCTAATGCCAATTCCCTTACCCTGATGCACCCTTGAAAACCATAAAATGCATACAGAGGGCAGGAAGTACCTTACTTGACTTTTTAGTACATAAGTACATAGCCCAATGTCTTACAATAAGTGATGGGTGAAACAATAAAAATGAACTTATTAGGGGGAGAAGGGGATGGGTATATACAACCGCAATGAGTAAGATGTGCAACATTTGGAGGATGGACACGCTTGAAGCTCTTACTCAAGGGGGGAGGGGGGCACCGGCAATATATATAACCTTAACACTTGTACCCCCATAATACGCTAAAATTAAAAAAAAAAAATGAACTTATTTTTTAAATGATTACATAATTCAGGTATTTCCCTAATCCAAATTTGTCTCTCCTCCAAAGTATTCCAAACTTATTAGGGTTTATGATAATAGCATTAACTAAAACAATTAAGTTAAACAGAATGATAGAAACATTTGATTTTTGACCAAAATTATCAAATATCCAAGACATTTACAGAATTGTATATAAAAAAGCAAAAACCGAGAAAAGGACAGAGAAAGTCTGGAAAATCTGCTATGTATAAATTATGTATCTTAAGGCAATAAAATGTATCCTTTTTTGTTGTTGTTGTTTTTTTGTTTTTGAGACAGAGTCTCACTTCTCTTGCCTGGGCTAGAGTGCCCTGGCGTCAGCCTAGCTCACAGCAACCTCAAACTCCTGGCTCAAGTGATCCTCTGCCTCAGCCTCCAGGTAGCTGGGACTACAGGCGTGAGCCACCATGCCCAGCAATTTTTTCTATTTTTAATAGAGATGGGGTCTTGTTCTTGCTTAGGCGGTTCAGAACTCCTGAGCTCAGCAAGACCCCACCCCACCACCCCCGCCTCCCAGAGTGGTAGGATTATAGGCATGAGCCACCACCCCCAGCCTGTTGTTTGTTAATACAAAGTCTCACAGTTACCCAGGCTGGAGTACAGTGTGCATTATCATAGCTCTGCAACCTCGAACTCCTGGCTCAGCTCATCCTGCCTCAGCTCTCGGTAGCTGGGACTAAAGATGCACGTCACATGGCAGTTATATTTAAATTTTTGTAGAGAAAGCATCTCGCTATATGTGCTTAGGCTAGTCTCAAACTCCTGGGCTCAAGTGATCCTCCTGCCTCAACTCCCACGTAGCGGGTGAGCCACTGGGCTCAGCCAAAAATGTATCTAAGGTAGTAAGAAAAACGCGTACAAAACTTTGTTTCGGTGAATTTATCACAACATAGTTTCAATACTAAGTCCAAGTATTTCAACAGTGAAGTTATCCAAAATTTTGAAAGCCTGTTACAGAACTTACCTTTTTTTGGCTGGTTTTCACACAGAGGTGTTCTGGTGTTAATGCAAACTGGCACGAGCACTGCTGTCCATCTCAAACCTGGCCTGTGCAGCTTGAGAAAGAGCTGCTGAGAGCGTTTCAAGAGATACTGGTTTTTTAAGTTAGGGAATAAAAATGTTCTAAATCTAACCTTTATACTTTTCAATTCCTATATAATCCACTTCTTCTTACTTATTTAATAAGCATATAGATTTTATTATCTACAAAAGTAAGTTACCCAGCCCTACCTACTACATGAAAATGATAACAGTTGAAGTTACCATCATTATTATCAGATATGAATTCTGAAGGATCTGTTATCTAATGGGCTCCTAACATTGAGTCTCCTTTATGGCACTCTGAACAACTCTGTTATTTGAACAAGGGATTTCTTCCAAAACACCAACCATGTAGTCACTTAACTGGTTTACCTTTTAATACAACTTTATGCTCTCTGATATCATCCAGAATAAGAAATTTTAGGCATGATTATAAAAAATTCTCTGTACCGAAGTTGAATTTTCATTTTACTTCCTCTCCAACTCAGTCACAACTCATGAAAAATTACTTTTAATAATTTGCTATTAATTGGAAACGCATCATATTTTTAAGCATTCATAATTTAGGCCACTACATTTTCTTAATTACCTTATATCTATATTAAGGAATACCTTTATGTTTATCCTTTTGGTTTATGTTTGGCTATTATAAAGCCTTTATTACATATTTACGAACCTGAGCTGAAAAAGCTGTGAAAATATAACTCCAAGAACAGAAAGGAGGGTGAAAATTAAATAGCTAGTTAAGAAGAAGAATTACTACTATTCTTAAAATGCTACTCAATTTTAAATATTTAATAAAAGTGAGAGCAATAAGATTTTGTCACCAGCCTAAAGCTCCCTAGCATAGGTTTCCCCCAAGTATATTGTCTTAAGGTATCTTCTTTCCCAGTCAGTGATGTTCGTTATCTTCCATTTATTTCAAATCAGCACTGTACTCACTACAAAGAGTAAAATTAATGCCATGCTGTAAAAGGCACACTGTAAAACTGTATAGCTTTCTTGGCAGACTAAAACAGTTTCTAAATAATGTGATTTGATCTTTCCATCAATGCGTGTTACAGTTGCTTCTTACATGCTATTGGGAACCATCTGAGGGACCAGAATTCTATTAACAATATATAATTAAGTGACAGCCATCGGAAGAACCTGCTATTTGCTGTCAATTTTACTTATTTTGTTGTGATTCTTTTTCTTTATATCCCTCTTTAATAATTTAGCATGAAATCCTAGAACATAGTCTCTCAAGGACCTCTACTGATAGACAAGCAAAACTAAAGACCAGTAGAGGAGATAAAGCAAAAGCTGACAAACATAGAAGCTTTCAAACAGGGTAGTTTATATGATACTTCAGCTGACATTATTAACACCTTATTGAAAATATTCCCATTGAAAAGAGAAAACTATGCAAACACATAAAAGTTATTTGGTAAGAATACAAAAACACATCTTTACTATCAATGTGAAGACTGGCTGACAATTATCAGTTCCTCAAATAAGAACATAAGCGACCTGTGACTGAAGTAATTACCTTGCTGAGGGATGACATAAGCAACTTGGCCAGGACGGAACCAATGAATGGGAACCATACAGAATTCCAATTTGGCCAGTTAATTTATATAAGTGAAACAGTTAATTTTACTCAATAATATACTCAAACATTACTTATATTCATTGCTGTGATTTTTGATTAAAGAATCACAATAAGGGAAGCAGAAAAAAATTATTCAGAGGACTTCATGAAAATTAGAAGTTACAGAAACTTGGGCTGGGTCTTCCAATCTGAGGCCATCCGTGGCCTGGGGGCCGAGTGTTCCAGCGGCACCAGGAAGAGGGAAGTTCATGAAACCGGGGAAAGTGGTGCTGGTCCTGGCCAGACGCAGAGCCGCGATAACGAAGAACATTGGTGATGGCACCTCGGACTGCCCCTACAGCCATGCTCTGGTGGCTGGAACTGACCACTACCATCCCCACAAAGTGACAGCTGCTACCACAGGCAAGAAAGCCACCACGGGGTCAAAGGTCAAGGATTCTGCAAAAGTTTATAACTACAATCACCTCGTGTTCACAAGGTACTGTGTGGATGTCCCCTTGGACAAAACTGTCATCAACAAGGATGTCAAGGCCTGAGGTGGCTGGGGCAAAGTCAAGTTCGAAGAGAGGTACAAGACAGACAAGTGGTTCTTCCAGAAGCTGTGGTTGTTTCAGTTATTAAAATTTTTTAAAAATTAGAAGTTACATAATAGTTATGATTTCAAAAGTCATTCACTTGATTTAAAAAGGAAATATATAGCCCCAAAGTAGTTACTACTTTTTCAGTGCATGTTCAATTGAGTTAAAAGGATACGTTGGAAACAATGTCTGGTGAATGGAAGGGCTTTGTTAGTGCACTGTTCACCCTTCACAGTTCCACTGCATGCTACTGGATCCATCTCCCTCAACTTGGTCCGGCTTATGCTAAGGAGGGAAAAACACAAAATTAATTTTTTAAAAAGGCTTTAAGAATTTCAGTTCATTTTTCAACATAATGTTACCACTCTGTAACACCCCCATTATAACTATCTATAATATATATAGTTATTAAATAAAATGCAAATGTTAAAGAAAGAAGGTATTACAATTATCAATTGTGTTATTTCCACAGTATACTGACATTCAAAGCAAATGGTTACAAAACAATATATTTCAAATATGTCTATCTTGTTTTCTGAATGACATTTTGGTTCCTCTTTCTTCACAAAGAGGCAGTAGATGAGACCAGAATCAGACAAATCTGGCTCTGAATCTCAGCTCTACCTCTTAACTAGCTGTATGACCTTGGGCAAGTTACTTAGCGTCACTTACACCTCCACTTTCCTCTGTGTGGAGCAGAGACAGTAAGGTACCTTCTGCTGGCAGGCTTGTTGGAAACATAAAAAGATGTAACAGATCCAAGCCATGTACATACAGTGTATAGTATGGTACATATGGTTATTAGTCATGACTATGATTATCATCATCACTATGATTTGGTCACCTTGTGCTGCTAAACAGCAAATCTGCAAAAAGCTCAATCTCATACATGGAAAAGAGGATGCTGATACGCAGAAATCGTTTAGTCATTCTATTCTCCAAAGTGCATTCACTTTGGACATAGTTTTTAAACTTTCTATTATATCTGCAACTCTATGTTTCATTATTTAAATCTCATCTCTACTAATGTACACCTATAATGTTTAAATATTTTAACTTTTTAAAAATTTTATGGAGAAGCAATGCATCTACAGAGTTCCATAAAAAAAAAAAAAAACAGAAAGTTAGGCAGTGAAGACTCTACTTCTGCCCTTGTCCCCTGATTTGCCAGTCCCTACTCTTTCTACAATATGTATTCCTTTTATTAGTTTTCAGATCTTTCCAGTTTCTTTATGCAAACATTAAAAAAACCAATAAAACCAAATAAATAATATCTAATTTTAGAAGTACAAAAACTATCCTACAGGACTCTGTAAAGCATCACAACTATGAGGCCTTTACAAATGTCTGAGTATGGGAGAAAAAAAATCTACTCAATGCGCTAAGTCCAAGTCAGGCATCAAAAATAAAAAAATCGGCGCGCGGTGGCTCACGCCTGTAATCCTACTCTCTGGAGGCCGAGGCGGGCGGATGTCGAGGTCGGAGTTCAACCAGCCTGAGCAAACGAAACCCGTCTCTACTGTAAACAGAAAGAAATTAATTGCCAACTAATATATATAGAAAAAATTAGCCGGGCATGGTGGCGCATGCTGTAGTCCCAGTACTTGGGAGGCTGAGACAGAAGGATCGCTTGAGCCAGGAGCTGAGTTGCTGTGAGCTAGGCTGACGCACGGTACTCACTCTAGCCTGGGAACAAAGTGAGACTCTGTCTCAAAAAAAAAAAAATAAATAAATAAAAAAAAATAAAAAAATAAAAAAATCTCTGAGTTGTCTGCTTCTAGTGTCTAAGGGTTTCAATGTAATGATATACACTAATTAGATAAGGTCACACAAAATCTAAATCACATATGAATCAACATAAAATAGAAATACATGAATGCTTCTATTGTAATTATTACTTTCATGTAAATAGTAAACAAATAGATAAGCAGGTGCTACCACAGAGATTCCTTTAATTAAGATTATGGCCGGGCGCGTGGCTCACGCTGTAATCCTACTCTGGAGCCGAGGGGGTGGATTGGTCAAGGTCAGAGTTCAAAACCAGCCTGAGCAAGAGCGAGACCTCGTCTCTACTATAAATAGAAAGAAATCAATTGGCCAACTGATATATATAAAAAATTAGCCGGGCATGGTGGCGCATGCCTGTAGTCCCAGCTACGTCGGGAGGCTGAGGCAGAAGGATCGCTTGAGCCCAGGAGTTTGAGGTTGCTGTGAGCTAGGCTGACGCCACGGCATCACTCTAGCCTGGGAAAAAGCGAGACTCTGTTCAAAAAAAATAAATAATAAAAAATAAAATAAAAAGAAGGCTCTCTATTTTGCAGGGATAATTTTTTTTTTGAGACTATGTCTTGCTCTGTCACCCTACATAGAGTACAGTGGCATTATAATACCTCGCCACAATCTCAAACTGCTGGGCTCAAGTGATCAATCCTCCTGCCTCAGTCTCCCAAGTAACTGGGAATACAGGCACATACCATAACATCTAGCTAATTTGTCAATTTTAAGTAGAGACAGGGTCTCACTCTTGCTCAGGCTGGTCTCAAACACCTAAACTCAAACAATCCTCTTACTTTGGCCTCCCAGAGTGTCAAGATTACAGGCATGAGCCACGGCACCTGGCCGTAGGGATAATTTTCATTGGACACTTTGATAATTTTGCCCAGCCATTTACCAAGACTAGTATATAACATATTCCCTCATTTTCTTTATTCCAGACTTCCAAAAAACCCCTTTGGTTTTATTTTTAAAAATAGCCTTATGTTCCAACTTACCGATTAGTTCTTAAAATAGATTCAAAGTCAGTAATTCACTATTCTCATTGATAAATTAAAGTAAAAATGTTTGATATAATGTTAAATATACTTTATTATCCAATCGAGATGAGGATATGGACCAGCACAAAGAAAGGCACTTTGGATCCAGTGAATTCTATTAAATACCTCTTAAAAGAGAGTAAAGAGCGAGATCAAGCGTGTTATAGGAGGAGTCAGAAAACTCTGATTTCTGTGACTTTCCCTAGCTAGCCACAGTATTCCTGCATAAATAACTTTGCCTTGGCCTCAATTTCCCCATCTATATAATCAAAAGTGTTGCCAAGAAGATATGTAAAGATGAGGCCTGCTGGCACCTTGAAACAATTCTGTCAACATTAATGAGGACTGAATATAAATGTAAGTTCAGTGAATAAACCTGCTTTCGAATTTCCCCTTCAAAATCCAACCACAGAGAAAGGGTGGCAGGTGAGAGGCTGGTGTTGGTGTCCACCAGTACATCATGTGGTTTACGTTTTGGACCTGTGTGTCTGTTCACCAAGAACCCAATTAAGCCCCAGAAGAACAACCAACCAGAAGGCTTCAGTGTCGCATTCTCAAATTCGTCTCGTATAAATAAGCACCAAACAGGAACCCATTCAAGGATATGTGGCCACTCCGTCTTGTAGACAGCTCTGCAATCTCAGACCATCTTAAAACAAACCCAATACCCCAGCTCCGATCCCAGCCCAGTTGAACCAGTCCCCTGGGAAGAGTCAGCCTGTTCAAAGGCTCTCCACGTTATTCCAACAACCACCTTACTGAGGCCCCCCTGTCCTAGATGGTGCAAAGATCTGAGCAAACCAGAAAAGAAACAGATGAAATTAGGCAGGTAAGGTACGGTAAGATTCTTGCCATGGGGCCTGTGTATGCGGGGGCTTATTAAAAATTAATTGCATTACCCATTTAAACGAATGTAAAAGTTTTTTATCAATATTGAGTAGATGGAAAACTAAGCTTGAGCATGGAACTACAAGTTAGTAAAATAACCTGTACTCTATCCAGGAAGCATTAATCGAACCACACTGTGGGTCACTGTCTTTCTTGCATTCTTAGATGCTATAAATACTCCAGGACACAGATGGCCTAGGTGGAATCTCCCAGGTCTGGCTCTTCCTCGTGTCTCAGCTGGCTCCCTGCGGAAGTCTGGTGTAGCAACTCATGGTGCCCTGCCAGGAGTGCTGGCAGGCTCTTGAGGTGGCGCTGTATACTTTTGTGGTCGCAGGCTCTTCCCATGTCAGCGAAAGAAATGTTGAGACAGGTGAGACATAAAATATAATTCATACTTACAACATTTCAATACAGTTTAACAATTATATAGCGATGAAAAATCTTTAAGAACACAAAAGAAACATTCGTGCGGAGGAAACAACAAGCTGAAGATAGGATTACCATAAGAATGACAAATTGTATCACCAACATTGGAGATTATTGAGTCTAAACAAGAGTATGCACCAGACGAAGATTCAATAGTGTGGTATACCCAGTAAACTTAGCTATAAGGCCTTGTTAATCCAGATCCCTCCTTACCCTGATGCATTGACCACATACCGGGACCAATGCCAATACAGAGGGCAGGAAGTACTTACTTGATTTTTAAGTAGCAAAGTACATAGCAATGTCTTACAATAAGTGATGGGTGAAACATAAAATGAACTTATTAGGGGAGGGGGATGGGTATAACAACCGCATAGTAAGATGTGCAACATTTGGAGGATGGACAACGCTTGAAGCTTTACTCAAGGGGGAGGGGGCACGGGCAATATATTAACCTTAACACTTGTACCCCTAATACGCTAAAATTAAAAAAAAAATGAACTTATTTTTTAATGATTACATAATTCAGGTATTTCCCTAAATCCAAAGT